TGGTGAACCTGCTGTCTGTTTTCTGGGAAAATATCACCCCTGTGGTATTTACAACAGGAACAGAAGAACATACCAGAATGAAACATAATCTTACCATTTCTAAAAAGATAGAAAAGCATACTTAGGTAAATAAGCAGTATTTAGGTTAGGTTAGTCTTTATTGTCTCCCTTATGAGAAACTTGAGAGGTCTTGGACATTCGAGAGAACACATGCGTCCCAGTCACATACAGTATGTCACTTTCACTAAGAACATTACACGGAATATTAGACAAATGCCCAACGCCCATACACCAAATCATTACACATTGCCATCCACAGATTACTGCACAAATGCCCTACATCTGATCATTCCACCACTGTCCTCCCCATCGTACAGTGTACATTTCACGGAATATTATGCAATTCTCCAATACCTGGCCAGTAAGCCATCTGCTCCATATTCATGTTGATGGTGACATTTCCAGAGGTGAAAACTTTCATCTTCTTTGTGACAGTGCCATGCTGGGGTGACTGTAAGCCACAAAACAATCTTTTACTTACATCTGAAGAACGTAAATTACATTTTCATTGAGGGCTTTATAAAGAAATGGCTCAAGAAACAACCTGGATGTTTATCTCTCATCAGGTGACTGACTTTAATGTACACAAACACTAATATGGTTTTTAAATGCTGGGTTTTTTTATTCACTGTATATACGAGGCTAGTTTGAAAGGGGTCATAATGACCTGGTTTACAGCATAACCTAGTGGACATTGTGAGTACTACACACCATTAGCTGTGCCAGGCTCATCTCTGGCTTCGAAACAAAGGTGAACTCAGATGCTGCATTACTCGGTAACCTCCAAGACCTGCTCAGCTTTGCCTCCAGCTTGTATTCCACTTTTCCATGAGCTCCTTTAAAGGAAGATGGCATGTTCCTGTCAAGGGAAGAAAGCTATAATGTTTACTGAGAAGGTCCTGATCATTAACCCCAAATTCACAGTGTGGTTCTTACCCTTGGGGAATCTGAAACGTAAACGGGAAAACATGGCTCCCAGCAGCCAGGACAACCTCTGAAAATAAAATGAGAAATGTGATCATTTTCATAAAGTTTTAATATTTCCATACTTTCATTTAACTAGATGCTGTCAGAATGACAATAATGACAATAATGTTTTCCCCAGATAGCCCTATCAGGCCCCCCCCAATAAAATCCATACTCTATCCAACCCCTCAAACTCCATCTCCAGCCTTCCTACACTAGGCTTGGGTAGTATGTAATTTTCCATACTGTCATATATTCCATACATTATATTGTAGTATACAGTATTTCAATGGTATTTTCAAAAGTAATGCTATTCTGATTTAAAAAATAATAATAATTGCCATCACCATATGGAGATGCCTCAATTTTGATGTAATTTGTCTCAAAATTTGATCAGCTCCAGACCTTCACCCTTATAATGTGTCTGAGAAGTTTGAAATAGATCTGTAAAATACTTTTTGAGTTACTGCAATTACAAGGTCAAATGTCTTCTCATGTCACCCTTCCCTTTGCTGCCACTAAGAAGCACTGCTTAACTTTTGGGGTAATTTGCCTCAAAATTTAAACAGTAGTAGACCATAACCCATAAAATGTGTCTGCAAATTTTGGGAAAAGACAAATACTTTTTAAGTTATCACACTGACAAAATAATAATGGTGAGGCTTCCTTTCTCTTAGGCATCCCTGTGGCATTGCTTCAGTGTTGGTGCAAACACTAATAGATCTTCACCAAAATCATGTGTCTGCAACTTTCCATGTAATACTTTTAAAGTTACTGTGTTTGCAAGATCAAATATCTTCTGTAGCTGCCCTTTCCTTCCTTTGCTGTCATGTAAGACTGCAATTTCAATTTTTGGGCAATTTCTATCAAAATGAAATCAAGTACCACCCATATAATGATTCTGTGATATAATAAGAACCATCAAATGCTATTTAATTTCTCACATTCAATAATAATATTAATAATCAATACTTTATTGATTGACTGTAAATTGCCTTTACGCCTCCCTCGACTTGCTCTTTGTAGAGTACGCTGCACCCAGGGAACTGGGGGTTAAGAGCCTTGCTCAAGGACCCACAGATGTGCAGAGGCTGGGTTTGAACCAGTGACCTTGTGATTACAGGCACACAGGCTTAGCCCACTCAGCCACACGCTGCCCCTTCAAGTAAAATTTCAACTGTGGTCAGGTGTTCCTTTGCTGCCACTAAGTGACATCTATAAATTTGGTGCGATTAGTCTCAAAATTTGATCGATTCTAGTTCTTCCCCCATACAATGTGTCTGCAATGTTCGTCAATACTGTTTGAGTTACCTCACTAACGGTATCAAGTGTCAACACTGCCCTTCGCTATGGCATCACTATGCGGCGCTGCTTCAATTTACTGTAAATCCAAGTCTCTAACCATATCATTGTACCATTAGTGTGAGTGATGATGAAGTGGAAGTTAGCAATCCTTCACAAACACACATCCACTACCACATTAAGGTCAAATAGTGAAAAAAATACAAAGCAGCAAGAAAAAAATAATTAGACAAACAAGATGAATGTACACATGTGAAGTTAGGCCTAATCATCTTAGTCTACAAGATGCTCATCCAAATCCTGCAGAAGATTTGTGTGACTGCAACTATTTGGCTAAATGCAATTTTCAAATATGGTAATTTCCTTTGGTGGGCTGTGTCGGAATCGGCGCAAATTATTCCTAAATATCAGTACACGTTTGACAAAGAACTCAGCTCCATAAGCTTGTGTCCAACAACACAGTAAGTGGGCTAATAAAATAAAATAACTAAATAGCCCTACGCACATTTCATTGCTATTGTAACTGCATGGTCCAAGACTGCGGAAAGACATATGCGGCGGGGATAACATTACCCCCCCCCCCGCGAAAATATGAAAATGTACCCGTTGGCCACCATTACAGTTGCGGTGCAGGGTCGTGCCTAAGAAGCCGGCCAAAGGTTACGTTCCCCTTTGATTGGGGAGGCCATGCCGTAGGTTAAAATTACCATAACATTCCTCCGACCAGCTTGAGCGTTTAATTTCCCGAAGCCAATCCTCGGAAAGCCCCTGACCTCAGTACACTCCAGACACGAACAACCTGAACTCATATTTGCTATACTGCAAATACATAGGCTATATCAACGTCCTTTAAAAGGACAACCAACTTCTGAAATGTTCTTACTTTTGCCCTTCTCCGGACCAGCAACCTGCTGCTTGAGCTTGAAGTACTTCTCCCTGGCACTGTAGGTTCTCTGGTCATCGCCGGAGCCCTCGCTCCAGTGCACCAAAGCCTGTCCGGTCGCTTTCACCCAGAGATCCTTTATCTTGGCGTCTTTGGACAAGAGCAGCAGGACGCGGCCCGACAGCTCGTCCCCGCACGAGAAAGTTCCCTCTTCATTCACCGCGTCGTACTCCACTGTGATACGTGTTACTGGACTCCACATATTGCCGAGTTGCGGACTTGGTGAAGGCGTTTTCCGTCTCTCTGAACCTCCTTTCACCCGATAACTTAAAAAGAAGTGACTGACATACGGCCACTTGTTCTATAATACAGCGACGTTTCTCACGGGAATAGTTTGCGGAAGTAAAGTTGTGGCAAGCAGACAAATGACACACCCCCGGCCCGCAGGCCACGAACTGAAACAACTCAGGGCGGCGAAGGAGGGATCCGCCGGTAGCCGGCGCGTGCGGCGCTCCGAAGGAAGCCCGACCTCAGCGCCCGCCCCCCCGCCGACAAAAAGCACCGCCCGGCCGTCATTTTTATTAAGACCTTTGGAACGATACAAACACATTATGATGACATGTAAATCTAAAAACTAAACAGTAAAAATTAACAAAGACAATCAAAATTAAAAATTGTAGTATGTAAATAAAAAACGAGAATCTAATTATTACACTATTAGCCTTCTACTAGCATAGTTTATTGCATGCATAATATTATACTCATAAAGAGGTGAAATAGAAGCACTTCTCGTATTTTCTAAACTGAGCCCCTGATGGATTACGCCCTTTTTTGGCATTTATTGACAGTAAATGTTTGATATCTAAAATATTTCCTTGGTTTTGAGTGCATCCTCAGGGGGATCCAGGGCTCCTTGAAGTGGGTATGTACCCTGGGGCATTTGGGGTAGAGAGCAACCTGGGGCAGTTGGGGGTGAACACTTAATTGCATCACTGTACGATGGAGGGGGACTTGGAGGAGACTGGGGTGAAGGTTGACTCAAAACATCATAAGCTGGTGGTGCATCTGGACTAGAATAGGATAGAAATGTATAAGGTTCGTCTGGGGGGGACTGATACAGAAATGCTCCAGGGGCAATTGAGGGTGCAGCAGCACCAGGGGCAGTTTCATAAGGAAATGCTCCTGGGGCAATTGGGGGTGGTGCATGCAAAGGGGCAGTTTCATATGAAAATACTCCTGGGGCAGATGGAGGTGAGGCAACCCAAGGGGCAGGTTGATACGGAAATGCTCCAGGGGCAGTTGAAGGTGGAGCAGCAGCCGGGGCAGGTTTAGATGGAAATGCTCCAGGGGCAGTTGAAGGTGGAGCAGCAGCCGGGGCAGATTTAGATGGAAATGCTCCTGGGGCAGTTGAAGGTGGAGCAGCAGCCGGGGCAGGTTTAGATGGAAATGCTCCTGGGGCAAAATCAGCTGGAAGAATAACCAATGGTAACTTGACCTCTGGGTCAGAGGCAAATGGAACCTCCAAGTAAACCTACAATGAAAGACAGAAAACAATCTGATCCGGGTAAGAAACTGAACAAAACTGAAGAAATAAAACACACGGCTGAGTCGCCTGGCTTTACTTCACTCTGATGAGGATTCTGCACTTTGGATACGCACCTTGAGGAAATACTCCACTCTGATGATTCTGCACTTTGGATACGCACCTTGAGGAAATACTCCACTCTGATGATTCTGCAC